CTCATGTCCAGATAAGGGCGCAGTTAGCGTATCAGCCGAAGCTGATAAGGGCGCAGTTGGCGTATCAGCCGAAGCTGATAAAGAAGAGCTCAGTGGAAATTTTGACCTAGTGTGTAGCTCCTCTGAAAAAGGGAAATTCAAGAATAAAGAGGAATTTAGAAATGTTCCAATATCATATTGCTCTTATCGTGCTACAATGCTGTGATGAAGCTGTTTTGGTCACCACATCACAGAAAGGATAATGAAGAGCTGCTAAAGTTGCAAATAAGGGCAACCAAAACAATCATGGGGTAGAAGTAAGTCACCTATGAGGAAAAGTTACAGTTTTGGGAGGCACATTACAATGTTATAATGCTATTATTCTACTTTAACTGCCATGGCTGCCTCCTGTGGAATTTTGGGCTTTGTAGTTTAGCAAGGTATATCTGGCTGACTCCCAAATGTCCCTCCCTAAACTGCAAATCCCAGGATTTCACAGGAGGCAGCCATAGCAGTTAACATAGAATAGCACAACAACAGTGTAGTAGTATTCAATATTCACCAAGGGAAACACATTAGAAGTGTGTGAAAGTATTATGGCAAATTTCCCCTGTCTTCTGTCATAATACAAAAAAATCTGGAGTCATTGACAGAAGCTGAATAGTAGAAGCTTTAGGACATACAAAAGTCAATATTTCTTCATATGATGTATAAGACTGTGTAATTCACTCCCATCCTGCAAGTAAGTGGACCTTTTATATAGCACTGCTTTACTTGTAAACAACATGCCATGTGTAATTATTTCTCTTTATTTTCCCCCAACTCCCAGGATGAAATTCCACTGGCTAATGGTTGGACTCGGACAACATTCCAAAAATCTGTCCCAATGAGCACTTACTTGGTGTGTTGGGCTGTGCACCAGTTTGATTTTATAGAAAGAATTTCCTCCCGAGGAGTTCCTGTAAGTCCTATGTTCATAATAAAATTTCCACAGTATTTTCCAATAGTTTTTGCTTTGCAGGAGGTAAACAAAGCAACTGCTTTAATTAAATGGCTTGTTATGAATGTTTTTCCTTCTTGTTCTTTTGCAGAAGAATATAGCCTTGTGTAGAAAGGCCTCTTGCCTTCTTTCCCCACCCCATCCCTTTTTAAATACTTTGGTCAAGGCTGAATATTCTGCCTTACACTTAAAGGGTGACTGTGGGATTTAACTGGAAAAAATGGGACTAGTTCAGACCAGCGGTAGCTGTTGTTTCCCATGGCAGTGAGGCAGAGAGTCCACTCTGGATTTTAATCTGAATGTTAAAGAAGTTATGCAAAGTACTGAACCTGTCTTGGGAACGGGGTTTAGAACCTCTAAGTCTTAAAATGATGTCTTTTAAGTAGCCCTCCACAGTCTCCTGGGGAGCTAATGCAGCACCTTAAGCTTCCACAAATTTTCTTTTCAAGTATTCCAACCCTTAACACAATCCAAAAGATCTGAGTGGGGAAAAGAAGATACAATAGCTGGTTGTGCCACTTCATTATGTCCCTGTTGCCCAACCTCACTGCTTGCTGCATCCTGAAGGATAAAAGTCTGAAACAAGGAAACCTCTATTCTTGTGCAGACTCTCCATGCAATTTAGACCCCTGCTTGTGCCTGGGGAACCTGCATGTGTACAGAAGGCTTTCTTCTGCAGACCAGAACAAGCCTTTTTGTAGGTAATGTGGAGCAGCTGCTTTGGGAAGATGGTGAAAATAATCTTCTTAAGTGCTAGCCATTCTCTACTATTTGGATGGAGAGCTCAGAAAGTTTCATTTTTAATAGTAATCCATTCCTGTTGTACACTGTAGTCCTTGAAAAATTAACTGATTGCATTGCATGTTGCTTTTTTTGGCTACTTATCATTCCTTTTTTGTAAAGCCATAGGATTGGTAAGAGAATGCCTTTAAATTTGGAGGGGAAAAAACCTTGTTAAAATGTTTCTTAAAATGCTGAAAAGTACCCTTTAACAGTAATGTAACCAGAAAACATTACTCCTTGTATAAGTGAACTAAAATGTTCTCACATGCCATATTCCTTTTGAAAAGTAGGACCTCATTACAGATAATCATGTTACTTGTAATTCATTACTGGTTCAAGTATTAGTTTATCCTGAATCGCCTAAACTAGTCTACTGCCTTGTGTAACTGGAATAGTGTCCTGACATTTGTACTGAAGCTGTAATCAACTGCTAATCCAGTTGCCCCCTGAGGAAAGGGTATTATCTTGTCCTTCACTTCAGGAAGCAAAGTTTCTTGGGCTAGC